GAAACATTTTTTTTTTTTTTTTTTTTTTTTTTTTTTTTTTTTTTTTTTTTTTTTTTTTTATCATATTTATGAGCTGGAAAGTAGTTGAAAAAAAAATAGTAGTTGGTTTGTTAGAAGATTCTTTGTTTAGTTAGTTAGTACGCGAAGTGACAGAATAGACGACGAGAACGAGAACAGGAGAGACCACTCAGAACTTAAAGGAGAAGGAGAAAAAAAGGATAGAGATATATTCTTATTTCCGTCTTCTCGTATATTCTTAAGTTTGAATATGATTATATAAACAGGAAAGTAAGGTTAATCAGTTGCGGCGACGACAATTGTTCGCGCGACAGTGACGGCGACAGGTTCAGACATAGTGACTAGAGTGTCGACAGAGGTGGGTCGAGTGGTGACAGTGGTTACCACATTCATTAGTTATTTTCGGTTTTTTCTTTTTTTTTTTTGGTTAATTCGAAAGCAAAGCTAATAATTGTAAAATGAAAACTTAAGTCCAAAGGCGGATGTGACGGAGCTAGCAAAGTCAATATTCGTGTGGTCACCCATAGAAATGACAAAGTTTTTTGCATTGTGAATATCCTGTCAAACAATGGACTGCTTATTTCCAAACACTTTAGTTTTATTTTTACTTTTATTTTTTTTTCCCTTGCCTAAAAGAAACCCTGTTCTCCATTTATTTGTACAAGGTAGAGCAAAGAAGAAAGGCACAAATTAATGGCGTTTTACACGCATACAAACACATGATACTTTAGGCTAGCCTTTGATATACCTCGTATCATTATTTTTACAAAATATTTTAATTACATAAAATGGAAGATGAATTTTGGAACTTTAAAGGGAACTAGTGCTTTTATATTTTAGTCTTTACTTTTTTGCGCAATGTTGATAGTTTATTTTATTTGACATTATCTACTAGCTTTTTTTTTCTCAGTTCAAAACCTTATTTCTAGCCAATATGCTTTGTACCTTCATTTTTTCTAATAATTTTGAGATCACAATTAGGAAAATTGGCCTTCAATTCGTATGTAGGACGATCGAATGGTAATGTTGGGATGCTTACACATATATAAATTATTAAAATCAGAAACAAGGGAATATTTTCAATGTGACCTACTTGACTTGTGGAAAAATCAAATGTTAATAATGAGTCTATTCTTCAAAACACAACATGATAAATGCACCTTGTTAAACTTTAGAACTGGAAGAAGAAAGTGACACCTTGTGAACCTGTAAGAAAAAAAATTGGGATTAACTTTTATCGCTTTCCTTATAGTTGTATTTGAGTTACATAGTAATAATACCTGTTCTAAGAAATAATCGCTACTTATTCTATTTTTTCTGTTACTGGCGATCTTTTTTTCATATTCTTATTACAAGTGTGCACATTTCAGAAGTTTTTCTGTACTTCTTCCCAGAAATGTAGAAAATATAAATCATCAAAGAAGTCTGAACAAACGATTTACTTTTCATGGAATATAGAAACCCTAGGTGTGAAAATTAGAATTTTCCTTTCTTAATAGAATTAGCCTCAACTATTTGCGTGTAGTATAAAGTTTGTAATACCTCCTTATATCATAGATAGCTAGCTCATGTATTTTACACGTTACAAATATGGCGTGTTTTCATTAGTAACATTGGTTTTTATATATCTGGAGAAGTAATTCATGCGGCAGTGAATTCACATTCTTTATTACAGGTGTTTCAAGTTTAATCAAGAGTCTTGTTTAGAATATGGTTAATAGTTTACATATGAACAATTGTCGTCGCCGCAACTGATTAACCTTACTTTCCTGTTTATATAATCATATTCAAACTTAAGAATATACGAGAAGACGGAAATAAGAATATATCTCTATCCTTTTTTTCTCCTTCTCCTTTAAGTTCTGAGTGGTCTCTCCTGTTCTCGTTCTCGTCGTCTATTCTGTCACTTCGCGTACTAACTAACTAAACAAAGAATCTTCTAACAAACCAACTACTATTTTTTTTTCAACTACTTTCCAGCTCATAAATATGATAAAAAAAAAAAAAAAAAAAAAAAAAAAAAAAAAAAAAAAAAAAAAAAAAAAAAAAAAAAAAAAATGTTTCGATCGTTTCAGTTATAAGCACACCAGTGGGTATCTTTACTGTTTCAAAAAACGTAACACTTATAGGACAGTTTGTTACCTGACGAATAAAGGTTTGTGAAATCAAAATAAAAATGAAAATAAAAAAAAAGGGAACGGATTTTCTTTGGGACAAGAGGTAAATAAACATGTTCCATCTCGTTTCTTCTTTCCGTGTTTAATTACCGCAAAATGTGCGTATGTTTGTGTACTACTTTGGGCAATACTAACTGCCAACTCGGACACATCACACTTAAAAAAATATTACAATGCCGAACACGAGGTAGCGCATTCACATTGTTATTAGCTCGTCAATAATAATCTTTTTTTCCATATTTGTTTAACGGCGTAGGCTTAAATAATAAAAAGATTACCATTATTCTTATATACAACATACGATTTTCTTTTTTCAAGTTAGAAAAAAATTTATTAAAAAAAGTATTATAAATAACAAAAGGCTGTACGATAATAATAAGACGTGACTGGGAAAATAATCTCCTTCTAATGGTTTTTATCACGATCAAGTCCCTGTACAAGTTTGCTAGCACATTGGTACAGGAACTTTATTATTGTCTATATAATTCTATAACTGTAATATGTATCACAGAAATTATATTTACCTATAAGTTTTGTTAATTCAACTTCTATCTTTTAACTTAGCTATAAAATGTCCATGTTTATTTTTTGTCAAAAATCCGAATTATATAATTTGTTAATAAGTAAGACCAATTTTCTAAAATTCGTAAATTTCGTATTCTTTTTATGGCACTTTAATGTGACGTATGCTTATATCACGGTTTTTGGAAATTTGAGTAATTAACATGCTAAGTCCTTGTATATTGAACATACCTAAAATTAATAAACAAATAAAAAATAGTATATAAATCTTTAGTTACGGAGAAAAAACACATATAAAGAGTACCTATAATCTTATAAAGGACTAATTTTTTGTTTAATTTTCATCAAATAACTAGTTATAAGTTCCTTATGACTCTTACTGAAGTTCTTTTTTTTAGATCTACAAGGGTGGATCGATTAACATATACAATATGTTTCACATACTCCGAGGCATATAAAGTAAAATAAATAAAAAAACAAGATTTTCTTATTACATCTCTGCCTCTTTTCCAGCTTACCGACTACTAACTAGTTTACTAGATAGGGAGTACGAAAGTTATACACGTAAACTAACTCTAAAGGAATATATCTTGGAATATTTACAGATGTAAATAGTTTTAATAGAATTTTATTGTTAAAAACTATACACTCTTAGTGAGTTAACAGTAT